TGCTTCCTCGCAGCTGGCAGTTCCCGACTACGACAATAAGTTCAACCCGAGCCAGCTCGTGATTAGACTTCGTACTCTGCTCGATCACTCAACCATTTGATGTACGAAATCTCCACTCGTTTTAAATTTCTGAATCCGGATATTGCATCGCTGGAGGTCTCATGGGTCCTTGACTGGCTGTTCCATGTCGTGATGAGGTGTTGCGATCGTCTGAGAACAGATATTGCGTGCGATGAGTCCGTTGATCGTGAAATCGCAGGTGCGCTTGCTGCTTCTCACGATCTTCTGAAAAGTCTAGCTTCCGAGTCAACATATTCAGTGACAAGGTAGTTTGTAGATAGGCGTGAGTGGCCACTGTTTGATCCTCCCCATTGTGCTTTTTGTTACGCAGAGCCGACTTCGCATCGACTACACTGACGATAAGATCGGGGATGTATGCGGTAAGTCGCTCAGAGAATCTGGTTCCAGCGAGATCATTGTACGCCAGTGTCACTGGGCTTGTCCGAAGGAGCAATGCATAGTCCGCAATATGCAGCCAGATGCTTACTCCGGCTGTCTTTAATCTCAGAAATGTGGAATCGTGGATGACTGGAACTTCTGTCAGAGGTAGTGTATTCTCATCATCTTCAAGCGTAAAGATGAACGATCGTGCTGCACCAGAAGCCGTTTCAATAAACTCGGAAGAGCATTCTCCAGATATGGTGCCTACTTCAAAATCCCAATTGCAAACATAGGTAGGCTCATCGGGCGGCAGACCAAAGAGCCTGTGCCCGAATAGCCCGACAGATTCGATGAACACCTCAGTTGCACCGCTTGTGTATTCATAGGAAAGCTCTGGGCTGGCAACTGGAGTTCCGAGCGAAAGGCTAATGGGGCTGAAGTCTACTGCAAGGTCCATGTAGTAGTTTGTGAACCTAAGATCTGCCGACGCGTAGGGGAGATCAGCACGAAGGCTGCGCTCTGCAGAATACAGATTTGATGGCACAAGGACGCTAGCTTGATCGACCGATATGCACAAGATAACATCCAAATCATTGCTGCTATCGGCAGGCTGTGCGGTCGACTGTGCGCCTTCTGTACCAAGAGTTGCGCTTGGAAGACCTTGAAACTCTTCCAAGGTCTTGAAATGCATATCCTCGCCAAAGTAGTTGTCCTTGATCTTCATGAAATGATGGACAAGCCAGCCATACAGTTCTAGACTCAACTTGTGACCATGAATATCCATGTAAAGTCTATCGGTATTCATCGCCGATGTGTCGTTGACAAAAGTGTGACTACCAGTCAGTGTTAGCCCATCTAGTCGTGCCACTTTAGGCGAATGGACGAATGTTTTCAAAGTGTTTTTCGTTGGCATGAGAACCTCCAGACCAAGCTTATGGCCTTGCACATCGAATTTGATGTCACTGCTAACCGGCCGAAATGTGTCGAGCGGTATAGTGACATCTCCTTCTAAGCGTTCGCCGAACAAAACGACAAAGTTATTGTCGTCAAGATCAGCTGGGTTGTTGATGATGTTTGCATCATTGGTGTTCAGGTACAGACTAAAGTTCTCAAAGTCGACGTGAAGCAAATACAAGAAAGGCACGAAGAGAAAGTAGTCTGGTGGTGGGCCAGTTCCCCAGTCGGCAACAAGATCTGTCAGTAGGAAGAGATGGTCGCGGAGAAGGAACAGTTCCAGATCACGACACTTGATGTTGAAAAGCCATTTGCGAAGTGTATTCCACCCAAGAGGGGTCGAGAGATCACAATCGAGAGAGACTAGTCCTGATCGCCATAGTAAGCCGTGATTGACACTTGAGTATATTTCGGTTTTCGGGATCTCGACATCGAGCTTGCTCATAAATCCTTGATTAGAGGCGTACATGTCCAGGGATTGGCTGACTGTAGTGTCGGCGCCAACTTTGACATCAATCCATGCAAACGGACGCACATTTTGCGCGCCAGTATTGTCACGATGCTTTCCCCTTCTCCGACGGGATTTTGCCTTGAAGATACCCTTATCGGCCCCTGCCTTGTCGTGTGCAGCCAGAGTATGCGCTTTGCCTTTCCACTTCCAGTCTTTGGACGGTTCTCGAATCGGAATGCGGAGCACAGTATCTTCCTCGATACTCAGAAAGACCTTGAATACGGTAGGTAAGCGAGTCTCTCCTGGCTTCAATGGCGTGGCTGGAATCGCATCCACGTGAGAGCCTGGAAAGAAGATGTTTTGAAAGACGCCACGATGACGATCCGCCCAGGGCCCATAGTTGATAGTTCCTCCAAACAGCTGAATATCGAGGCCATAGGCAGGGGGTAAGCTGCCATTGATGTCGTGTGGACGCTGAGGATCGACTTGTACACTACTGTCGATATCATGTAACACTAGACCCGGGACATCCCAATAGAAGGAGATGCCAATCTTTGGAAGATCAGCTATTAGCGATGTTTTTGCGTACTCGATTCCATCCCATTCGCCGTGGCCATCATTTGCAGTGTCGTCGAGATAGCGTGCCAGGCCTTTCCACCGTTCTTGGCCCGGGAAGCGCCATTGAGGGGCAAACGAAGTCGCGCCTTGGGTGGTACCGGTCTTGGCATGGGTATGAATCGAGTCTGAAGATTTTGCAAAAAGCCCAGAGATGGTCGAAACTTTCTTCAGCCAGCGCCAGCGCTGTTTACGTTTGGCTGACTTGTCGAAAGCGCTGGCATGGGGGGAGGTTTGAGCATACTCCTGCTTGAGTTGGGTGGCCGTGTCGAGTTGGCTCATCTTGTAGTCTGGGTTAGGCTTCATGTGGATCACAGGCTGGACTACCTCGAACTTGAAAAGTTGTTGGTAACTATCAAGAGGACCACAGCTGGACGCGTCCACGGTCCCACTCGCCTTTTCAAATTGAGCCGTGATGACAGCTAGTGTGTTTTCGTTTCCGATAACCACGGCGCCTCTGGTGATGTCGACCTGGACAGGGAGGAGGCGGAGGAAAGCAGGAAGATTATCCTTGTTGGGCTTGGGAGTTGTTGAGCGGGCCGTGTCTGGTCTTGGAATATCCTTCTCGCCGCTCGTGTGCGCTTTCTTCAGCTTATTGTGGTGGTGGTCTTCCTCACTGTGCTTCTTTCCAGATGCCGCAGTGGATCCATCACGAGTCTTGTCATCCTCTGCAGCACCCTTGGCCTTGCGCTCGACAGCATCGATGATCATGTCATAGGCAGGGCTGCGGTTGTACATGAAGGCCTCGACGCCTGAGATCTTGACAGAGATGCGGCACGGGAGCGGCTTCTGCGTCTGCTTTCCTCCTTTCTCCGCCTTGTCGAGGTTGCCACGGCGATTACCAGATGGCGTGGTAGGGGTGCTGGGCGTGCGAGTGCTCTCATTGTCTAGTCGAGGTTCGCCGTCGGTATAGACGGCCGCATCTTTCACCCGTCGCAGCCAGTAGTTCCAAGTGATGTATCCGCCATGGACCAATATCGTCTCGTTGTGGCCATGGTAGCGTATGTCCTTGAAGAAGATGCGGCCTCCCAGCAGCGATATTTGGAGCGAGGTAATGTCGATGTAGGCATCGAAGGTGTGCCAGGTATATGCGCGTATGCCATATGCGATGACGGTTGCAAAGAGGCGATTGAAATAGAAGAGGAAGAAGATGGTGAGGATGCCACAAATGAGCAGCTCTACCAGGAAGACCCAGTTGAAGCCGTCGCGCGGGTCCAGGGGCTCGGCGACAATCGAGGACATTGCTGCAGCAGCACGGTATGCGGAGAGTCCGGGGGTTTCTTCATGGCTTCACAAAGGAGGCGCACATTGTTTGCATCATCGGTAGGAGAGAGCGCAGGAGGAGGGGCTTGGTCGGATGAGGACAGGTACTACTGTGTGCCGTGTCGGTACCGGTAACCAATGTGTTGTCGTGGGAGAGAGTGGAAGCCGCAATTGTACATGCCTATGTGGCAGGTAGATAGGAACTAGGTATCATAGAGGAATTGTATTCGTGCTTTTGTCCTTCAAGTTGGCTTCATCGTAGCGTTCACGCATGTCGAGCTCGGCTCAAACGAGCGCGACGTGCCGGGAATGGGGAATGGGGGGAATGCGCGTCATGGGCCGGCGAAGCTTGGGCCCGCTTGACTAACCTACCACCAACTGCTACTGCTCTAGTCCAGAGTAGGTCGTCTAGGTACCGAACAGCTCTCCAAACAGGTAGACGGCCCATGTCAGACGAGAAAAGCACAAGACCACAAACACCCACCTGGAGCTTACCACCTATCTGCTGCCTACACGTCCACTACGACCATGGCCTCTCGTCGTCGTCGCTAACAAACACCCTCCTCTCCCCTCCCATCTCGCCACACTCGTTTGCGGGGTCGGCATCCCTTCATTCAACTCCCTCCTCCCCATTTGCCTCCCCACCACGGTCACAGCCTTTGAGCTGCACACCACCTCACCATGGACCCCAACACCCTCTCATTCCCCTTCCAGGAGACGGGGTTTTCGTCTGGAGGCACGGGAGCACGCCTTGCACGTGCTGTTATCATTGTTGCCGGCGTCTGTGCCCTGGTGTCGTGCTTGACAACTTTTGTGTGCGTATCTTGAGAGATCGTCATGTCGAATGACCACCACTGACGTAGTTGTAGTGCTGTTTGGCTGCAGACGTGAGCAACCCCCCCTCCACCCTCTACTACCAGGAGGCTGTCCATGTACTAAGCATGGTCACAGAAAGAACTACCGCAAGCCGCTACTCCAGCGATATGTCGTTCGCATACTACTCATGTACGCCGTGGTCTGTCTTCCTCTGTAGGCGCACTTACTCACCTCTTACAGGGTCCCCATCTACGCGGGCGTTTCATGGGCGAGTTTGGTCTCGATAACAGCTGCCTCCTACATGGAGCCCTTCAGAGATGTGTATGAGGTGAGTGTAGTGGCCTTTACTCTGGGAACCTCATACTGATTACACTGAACACACCCAGGCCTTTACCATCTATACCTTCCTCCAATTGCTCATCAACTTCATCGGAGGCGAACGCGCCCTCATCATCCTCATGACCGGACGGCCGCCCGTCTCCCACCCTTGGCCCATGAACCTCATCTGCTCCAAGATCGACATCTCGGACCCACACACTTTTCTCGCTGTCAAGAGAGGTATCCTGCAATATGCGTGGGTGAAGCCAATTCTTTCAGTGGCCACCGTTGTCATGAAAGCGACGGGAACATATAAGGAGGGCTACATAGGAGTCACCTCTGGCTACTTCTGGAGCAGCATCATCTACAACATTAGCATTACAATCTGCCTGTACGCCCTGGCCATGTTCTGGATGTGTATGACGCACGATCTGCAACCCTTTCGGCCCATGCCCAAGTTCTTGTGTATCAAGGGCATCATCTTTGCCTCCTATTGGCAAGGTCTATTCTTGTCCATTCTTGTCTGGTTGGGCGCTATTCCAGATGACGTTCCTGGCTATACGCCTGACAATTTGGCCGCCGCAATCCAGGATGCTCTCATCTGCTTCGAAATGCCCTTCTTTGCCTTTGCCCATTGGTATGCCTTTTCCTGGCACGATTATGCCGACGAGACGATTTCGGCAGCACGCCTGCCCGTCAAGTATGCTTTACGCGATGCCTTTGGGCCAATGGACCTCATCCAAGATACCAAAGAAACTTTTGCAGGTCGCCATTACGAATACCGCTACTTTGACGCGCGCGACAATGTACTAGCGCATGAAGATTCGTCTTCGCGTGCAGCACGCATGGCCGAGGGTATGCGGTTCGAAAGAGGTGGCAAGGGCAAGTACTGGATTCCGAAACCAGGACAAGGCAGTGAAAACGAGCCGCTGTTGAACAAAATGACGTCAAGTCGTGCCCGTGCCATGAGTCCTGGACCGCACAAAGCGATACAGGGCGAGGGTGGCATGTATGGTACCCCTGACGAATTCGAGGATCCAACTCTCGATGCCGAAGACGAACGTCTGTTTGATAATGCACGATCGTTGGAATTTGGTGATTGGAACGTAAGTCTACCCTTGCTTTAGCTTTGTTCAGGTCTGATCTAGTCACAGTACCCTGTCATTGAAGCCCACCGACCATCTCGAGAGGATCGTCTTTATGCCGACCCAACTGTTCTCACAGCCTCAACCAATCGTAACCTCCTCCAACCAACGGCGATCAATAAGAAGCGCCGCAAGAGTCAGATCAAAGCCGTCCAAGACTCTACGAGGAAAGGGAAGCAACGGTCAAGCGATTCCAGTAGTGAGGAATCCCTCAGTTCCAAGTCTCGTGTTCCCAAAATCGCGAATCTCCTGCGACAACACTCGTCATCCTCTTCGACCTCTGCCAAATCCGACAAGAGCCAACTAGTTGATCTGGTAGTCGAAGACCACCAAGCCGAAGAAGTAGACCGTGTTCGAGCTCGAAAAGAAGGTGGTCCAGGCTGGAACGAAGTTCCATCAAAGTACTTTGTGTAAGTCCCCAACTTTCTTCCTTTCCACCGCTCATGCCACGTATTACGATTCATCGTACCCGAAAACCCACCAATCTAATCGAATCCATAGCCACACCTATGCCGAAAACGGCCAGAAAGAAGAAGTTCGTCAAGGTTTCAACCCAGACGAGCCAGAAGTGCAAAACCCAGAAGCAGACCACAATCTCAGCTACCCCTTTGCCGTTGAAGAACAGACCGAGGAAGAGCAGAGGCAACAGGGCATCAAGCCTCCCATCTCCAAGGAGGAGAATCATTGGGAGACCAATGATGTGAGCGATCAGCCAGATGTTGATGAGGAGAGAGAGGATCGGCCGAGTCCGTCGTATGGTAGTTTTCGAGAGGAGAGAGATGTTTGGGGGGCAGGAGAGTGATTAGAGCATTTTTGTTCGAGATGTGACGCACGTTGTTGTGTTCTTTTTTTCAAGGACTATTGGTCTTGCTTGTTGGAAAAAGCGACTTTTTTTCTCCGTGCCGTCTGCTTGTGGCTTTGTTAGATTGTGCAGTTTACCTTATATCTTCAGTCAGGCGGGTCTAGGGATTGCTATTAGGGGTTTTTTTTTGTGCGGGTTGGCTATATACCCCTGTTTTGTTGTTTTGTGTTGCTTTTTTTTTGGCGCAGTTTGTATTAATGTTTGGGGGGTTGGTATTACTATTACTACTGCTGCTGCTTGGTTTGATGGTGGATGGTTGAGGGTTGATATTGATTGTATGAGAACTGGTTTCGTTGTTGGGGTGTTGTGGGCATTGGGTGTGTTAGGGGTGGTTGTAAGGTGCTGGTGGTTGGTAGCTGTATCTACTTATATCAGCCCAATCTTCTAATGGGGGGCGTTTTTTTGGAGGGGGGGGAGGACACTGCGTGATGTGCGTGTTGCGCAGGATAGTGGCGGTGGTGGCGATGTTTGTATCGCGAGATGTTAATTTGTGGTGATGGTAGTGTCACTGGAGATGGAGATGGAAGATGGTGTTTTGTGATATCAAGGGGGTATTCGTGCTAGGATTAAAATAGATATCATTCTGAGATGATTACAGGAATAGCAATGCAATGTTCACTACATATATAAAGCAGCGAGGTATGAAATACGCTGCTTGGCAAGCATGAATTTGCTGGACAGCTTCGCTTGGCTAGTCTCATGATTACCGTATGGTAGGCTTGTGCCGATGGCATCGCTATACTGTTACAGGTGGCATGGCGACATAGAGTATAGTACGGATTTCTTGTAGAATGAGGGTTGCAGAATGATTGTATCACGCTTAAAAATTGGTCTGACAGCCTTTTGTAGCTGCGACAGTGTTGATGCGCCGTGTCATGCTTCCTTATCCACCATAGTCGAAGATTCGGGGATACCGGTAACAGTCCAGACCTCCTTCACCCTAGCTTCAAGTCGCTTCCGCTTCTCTATATGGTCTCCTACATGTTCTACTTCTGGATAGACATTATGGATCCTACTGTACGTTCAAATGCCCCACATGGGTTCCATTAGGTCAAGGTTAGGTGGGTAGCTAGTTAGTGTTTCTGGAATATGTCCTGATTGGGACTAGTATGATGACCGGATAAGGACACCTTCGGCTTCTCTCCTTCCCATCTCCTCAATCAATCTGTTACACTTAATATATCTCGCGTAGATAGTACCGGTACCTGTGATGACAAGAGCTGCAGCGCACAGAGGTTCTACTACATTGGTATTTATGGCGATGATGAAAAGAGCATCCTGGGCTCCACCTTTGTCGGATTGACGAACAGACTGTAATGGTGGGGCTTGGATTGAGAATCCTGTCGTTTATGCTGTTGGATTTCGTATGTATAGATGGTCGCAAGCAGCACATTGCGGACAGAGAGACCCAGGGTACGTCATTCTCACATGAGCGACAGTCGAGGGTACCGGTACCTTGACTCCCTGATGGTTTGGTGTGGGTGCAAACGCTGGCGAGAAACTTCCGCGTACCTTGCATTACCTTGCCGCAATGCCTGCCTGATTAGAGTCAGTACCCGCAACGCTACTGTTGAATGCAATGCGGCTCTCTCTCAACGACCTTAGCATACCTATATGTTGAGATGCGTTGGCACCTCTTGATACCCTGGCGAGGATTAGAGGGTACCCCAGTAGACCTGTAGAATGACAGCGAAGGGATAGGATTGGGGATTCTAGGATTGATAGGTTGGTCTAATATAAGACTTGGGGGTTTTCAGGGAAAGTGTTTACTATTCAGGTTGGGGTTTCGTTTTGGTATGGCGGATTTGTACACAATTGGATGAGCGTTACTTAACATAGGAATCGAGATTCTAGATGAATACACCATGCGAGAGCTTGTCCTAATGAGGTAAGCGTACAAGAGACCACCGCTGTCCGCCTTCAGTCTCAGTCTCAGCACCTGCATCCCCTTCGAAGCCTCGCCTTCTACCTACATACCGGTAGAAGATTCGGAAACATTGCCTGAAGCCCCAGGGCCCAGAAAAAAACATGACACGACGCGACCCATTGTCTGGACTGCTGTTTGGAGCTTATGAAAATTGCCCCGATTCGACAGAGATCCTTGTGCCCGTCGCGACCGGAACAGCTGGGTTGCGGGAAATATCAATCAACATGGCGCATGCTCGAACACCAGGCCCATCAGCCCGTCCGATTAATCCTTCACATAAAGGCTGGAGTGGATGTGTTCAGTGCGCCACAGGGCAGACTTGAGCGTGCTTGGCCTTGACTTGGTTTCGTGCGGGAAGCGCTATTGCTTCCTCACTGGTCCACGATGCTGCACGTCTCCGCTCGTCGTTCAGCGCTTAACTTGCCACCCCCCCGACCAATAATGGGCCTCACGCTGCCAACCGGTATCAATGCACGCCAGCCACGCCATCGACGCTTCTCCACCATCTCACGGTCTTGATGCCATGGGGCTGCTGCTATTGGGCGCCTAGCTGGGGCCAGCGATCATCTACCATGTAGGTATATTATGTAGTCTTGTTGTCCTGTGGGTTGCGACTGGTTTGCTTCCTCTTCAAGGCCGGGACCTGCAGGCGTGCTGCACCTTTGCGATTCCAGAAGCTGAGCTACCTCTCGTTTGGTGAAGATAGAAATTGCCGGCTGGACTGGGGAACGCTTGTGGATATTCTTCCTCTGGCTGTGCCTTTGTTCTCGTCTTACTTTCTCCTTGCGCTTTCGCTATCGACTTGTCTTTTTTTTGTTGGCCTTACGGTACCCAGCAAGCGCATCACTTATCTTTTTCTACGTTCTACGTTCTTCGTTTCGATCGTCGCTGAGTTGAGCAATGGATCACTAGCTGCACTGGTTTGCAGCTCAAAGACAGAAAAATGAATTCAAAAATAATGCAAGAGGAGGAGAGGACGACTTCGTGGCTGGCCATCAAGCTAGGATGCTGTGCATCGGGTCGAGATGTCGACGATGGAGAGACTGGCCCGAGGGCTCCTGGTACGTTGCATCTTCTTTTCCTTATTCCTTTCAGTTCATCACGATACATTCACTGCACTTTTCATCCATCCCTCCTTCTCTCCCATCATCGTCTGTCATTGTGATTTTCAGTCCCCCCCCCTCTCTTGACGTTCTGTTGAGATGCACCATGCGCGCTTACCATCCGCCTAATATGGGTAATACAACACAACATTGGATCAATGCATGATGATCCAAACTATCGGATAACATAGGCATCATCGATACTCTTCTTCTTCTTCTTCTTCCTTGCAGTACTGACGATTACTGAACAGTAGAAGGACTGGACATGCAGATATGCTACGATCAACCACAACTTGTACCTCAGCTTCGCGCTGAACCTAATAAACCACGTCCGTCTACAAGCCACTCCATGAGCCAACAGGTCTCCCAATGGGTTTCCAGCAGTCGCGACTATGTTACGCGTGCTTCCTCGCGTGCCAGTATCGCCACCCTTGCCCGACCACGGCAATCCTACTCCCGGCCTAGCATCAGCTGTCCCACAGAGTTCCGACACTTTGATGGCCCTGAGGGAATTCAGTCCATGTTGGATGAAGCACCCATGCCCGTTCGTCGCCGCGGTAGCTTTCGACCCCTAGAGCTTTCCATCTACATGCCCAATGGATGCCTGTCTCCCTTGCCTGACTTCGAAGAGGCCGAGTTTGGGAATGATGATTCAGCGGAGCTGGGAATCCCCGCCGAAGCCCTCGTTCGCGTGAGAGACTCACGTACCAACTCGTTGTCTTCCAGTGCCTCCACTTCTTCGTATGTCTTTCAAGGAAAGAGTCCCGCTTCTCCTTCTCGTCGAAGTAGTGTGCAGAGTCAGACAAGCACGAGCACGCATGAGAGACATTTGTCAGGCACCACAATGATAACCATGGCTACCCCTACACTGCCCCTGCTGGCAGAGGAGCCAAATTCAAGCTCAAATTCAGTTCGCGAGAAGCCCACCATCCAACGTTCTCGCACATCCGACACACTGTCGCCTGTCCGTGTGCTCTCCCGACTACCATCTCCATCGCGGAGCCGCGCCAATACCGCACCCTCACGACCCAACAGTCTCCGCCGCACGCGAACCGATGTTGACGACGCCATCCGCGAACTCAACACCATCGTCGAGGAACGCCGTGCCAGCGCCTACCGCTCCCACTCCCAATCTCCAGCCCTCATCAACCGCCCACCCCCATCTCCCTCACACCACGTACCCCTAAATCGCACCCGCCATGCGCATGCACGTCCGCTCCGAGACCCACTCTGGACATCGAGCTCCGCCTTCTCCGCACCTCTAGGCCCCCCAACGCAAACACACGAACATCAACCAAACTCTCACCTCGCCCCCGCCCATTTACCTTGAA